GTGTCAGTGGTCAGGAACTTCTTCAAAAATGTTTTCAATTCTTCAGGAAAAAGAAAAAGAGAAAACAGGTGTCTCATACCTTCCATGGGTGATGTTACTTTTAAGTTTCTCCCAGTTGTCACCATCAAGTGGAAGACTCCCAGCTGTCATGGTATAGAGGACAACACCCAGGCTCCACATGTCCATCTCCCGTCCTATATATTCCTCACCCAGGAACATTTCTGGGGCACAAAACAAGGAGTCCCACAGCAGAAGGTGTCCAGCTTCTTACCCTCACTAAATGTCATGGCAAAGCCAAATTAAGCTACCTTGATTTTCTCCTTCTCATCAAGTAGAATGTTGGGAGCTTCAGGTCCCCGTGGACGATGTGGTTCTCGTGGCAGTACTGCACGGCAGCCAGGATCTGTCAGAATTTGGCCCCGGTCTTCTCCTCCTTCAGGTGGCATTGTCTCGCTATATGCCAGAAAAGGTCCCTGCCACTGGTGTACTCTGTTACTAAGCAGAGCATGTCTTCATTCCTGATGACATCCAGAAGCTTAAGGATGTTCAGATATTCAGATTATTCAGGGCCCTAGTGGCTTTGACCTCCATAGCCACGCTTTCCAGGCTGGGGATGGTCTGCTTGGACATGACTTTGATGGCTACCTAGTAGGAGCATGCTTGTCCAGCGTCACCTTGCCAAAGGTGCCCGAGCCAATTATCTTGAGGAGCTTACAATTGTTAAGCACCTCGGTGGATGAATTAGAGGCCTCGACCTCCTCCATGGTCACCTCTAACTATGCTAACTCTACCCTAACTATGCTAACTAACTAGTGAACACTACCAACTATGCTAACTAGGCTAAGAGAACTAGTAATACTAGCTATACTAACTACTCTGACAATACTAACTTTATGAACTACTTTAATAACATTAATAAATAATCTAAATAGGCTGATAATACTAATTATGCTAACACTACAAAGAAACAATACTAATCATACTATCCTAACACTAATAAAAATCAATATTAATCATGGTATGCTAATGCCACTAACAAACAATGCTAACTATAGTATGGTAATAAGACTAACAGACAGTACTAACTACCCTACGCTAACACAACTAACAAACAATGCTAACTATACTGACTACAATAACAATGCTAACTAAAACAAAAAGGCAGTCTCGCTACAGCCAAACTCCACAGGTCACCAAACAGCGGCTTCCTGGGCAGTAAGGACGAAATCCTAGCCCCAGCCAGGGGCTCATACAGGTGCTACTAGTTTGATAACAATGGGTTTTTATGAGATCAGAGCAAGAAATCAGCCCAATCATGGCTGGATATAACCCACAGTGGTTTTTTTCCTTTTTTGGTCGCAAGAACATTTTCCTCTTTAAAGAAAACAAGTGTTTTTTGTTGACATGGTTATAGGGATTGATATTTAGTTTATTAGAAATTTAAACCTGTAAAAGGCTTCAGGGACCTTTCCATTTATAGTTTGAAAGTAAGCAATAACTTTAGGCTTTTAAAGACCTTATAATGTCTCTACTTGAAATAGTCAATTTCTTTTTTTTTTTTTAATTCTGATTAGTGTCAGGGTGATGGTACAGCATAGCTGACATTATCATCCACTTTTAAGTGACACTCCTGGGGCAGTAAGAAGTGAGTAAGGGCCAGCTCTGCATCTCTGGGCCCAGACAGCCTGGCCCAGAATGAGGGAGAATAAATGGCAGATACCACAACCCAACACTGGGCTCCAATCAAGCCAGGACTGACTCAGGATGGTTCCTACCCCAGGTACAGTGAGAGGTTCCATGAAGGCACGGACTGGAACTGTTGTGGTTCCTGTCCTTGCCTTCTTGGCCTGGAGTTGGATGAGCACTGTTGAGCAGGGCCTGGGGAGCCCTGCACACCTGACAGCTGGGTGCCAGAGTAGAGTCCGTATCATGTCCACACCTCCACACCAGCGGGTAGGTGTCCTTGCTGGCCCTTGGTTTCTCTTGGTCCAGAGGATCCCTCCTGGGGTTGCCTACTAATCCATCATGCAGATATGTGGGCATGTAGGATATTGGCATTTATTTGTTTTTACTCTTTTTATTCTATGCTTTTGTATATTTTTTGAAAAAGCAAAATGCTTTAAACAACCCAAATGCTCTACAAAAAGGGAATGGCTAAAGTGTAAATGACTGCATAAAAATAATAACCTAGCCTATATTGCAACCTAGAAAAATATAACATCTTAGAATAACATGATTGAATAAGGCAAACTGCTAACCTTTCATCCCACAGCATAGCTAAGTCAATACTTGCAAGGATAGGGAGAGGGTCAAGAAAGAAACATGGGAAAAATATTATCAGAAAAAGCTGATGCATCCTCTAAAAACAATTTTCTTTATGATTTTTATAGTGCTGCATATGAAGTAATATTTTTGTCTTAATTAAAAGATTATTGAAAAGAAACCATTAGGTAACTAATAGCACGAGTACTTTGCGGATATGGACTAAACCCCAAAAAGGTAGCATGGCAATGACTAAAGTTCCTGAATGAATCAGAGAATCAAAAGACGCTGCTAATTATAGCTGGTGTGACTAAGTGCCAGCTTTTCAGATAATCAATCCACTAACCACGCAGTGGCCCAGATGAGGAACTAAAGCCAACTCACCATGGTGACTCCCCTGGCCTCCTGGTAGGCCACCTTGATGACGTCTGCAGTGCTCGTGCTGAGGACGACGAGCATCCTGAGCCTTCTCTGATGTGCAGCGCTCCGCCTGCAGGAGGGAGAGGCAGGGAGGGTCGGGCTGCGTGTCGGAGGGTGAAGGGCCGCCCGGTGGGTCTCGCCCCAGCAGGGCCATGTCAGGGCAAGGGCCGTACCTGGATGCCCGAGTTGTTGTAGGTGTGGTTGTAGACTCTTCCAGAGTCACTCTCACGTCCTCCACCAGGATGAGGTCTGTTGAGGCTGACGGGGCACAGGAGGGTCGTGCTGAAGGGGCAAGGCCAACACCATCAGATCCAGGAGGCCATGACCAACTGCAGGCCAACACCACACCTGCCCACAGGCTGCTCCTGGGGAAGAGCAGGCCTAGAAGCCTCAGGTCTTGGTCACTCACTATATCTTGGGCACAAGCCCCAATAAACTCATGGTTCTCCTGAGTCCAGCTGAATGGCCATGTCCCCTTTGAAGCCTCCCTCAACCAAGGCAGAGTGAGTTGCCAGCTCCTCCACTCAGACAGAGGTGGGGTGAGTAACAGTCTTGCTCAGATGCCAGCCCCACCCCACCCTGCCAGGCCACACAGGGTGGGTGACTCACACACACCTCCAACCCTCAGGACCTCACAGCAGAAGGCCGGCTTGGGAGCACATGGGAGATACTGCATTGATGGAGTGGATGGGGGAGTAGATGGGGAGTGGGCAAATAGGAAAGCCACTGGCCAGGCCAGATGCAGGGGAGGGTCCCATGGGAAGAGTCCTCACAGCTAGCTGTCTCCCAAGAGGATAAGGACAGCCCCCAATGCCTTAGGTGGCACATTGCGTAGCTCTGTTTCCTGCCAAATGTCATTCGAGAGAGATTGCCAGACCTGGCCCAGATATGGCCCACTCATAGTCAGATTATTTGAGCACCCCGTCTACACCAGCCATGTACAAGGCACTGGGGGTGCAGTGACCACCCTCAGGGAAGAGTGAGTGAAGGACAGAAGGTGCTGGGTGCAGTGTGGGTGCCACGGGCAAGGAGGGTCTGGGAGGGAGAGCAGCTCTCAGGGAGCAGAGACCTCAAGCTGAGGAACACCTGAGCGTCACCAGTGACATGGAGCCCCCAGGGCACAGAACATGAGTGCAAAGGCCCTGGAGGGATCCCGTCAGGGTGTCTAGGCCCAGCCAGGAGGCCAGGAGGCCCCCCCGCTCCAGCCCAGGGCTCCCTGGTTCACAGATATGAGCTGCATAACTGGGTGGGTGAGCAGGAGGGGCAGGGCTGGGCCTCTGGTCACCAGCAGACGCCTGCAAGGGTTGCTGTGTTTGCTCTGGAGGTCAGGAGGCCTTGGCGTCAGCCCTGGCTGGGTGACCCTGGACACATTTCCTCACTCGTTCATTCTAAACAAACCCCCTTGGTTGGTGTCTGCTCTGTGCCAGGCACTATGCCCAAGGCTAGACGGGCAGACATGGAGGATCCTAAGGTCACTATGCTTGCTTCTAACAGGAGACAGGGAGAAAAAACATTACAGACCATGGGGCCCAGTGATGTCTGCAAGGTTGACGGTGGGTGGCAGGGAAACGCAAGGGCTGCCTGGCCCAGGCTGGAGGACGGAGCTCCTCCAGGAGCAGGAACTCCCCACAGCTCACCCTCTCTGGGCCCTTTGTGGACAAGGCAGGGTTCAAACACAGTAAGTAACAGGTGCAGTCGTCAGCCCACTGTGCTGCAGCCCTTGTGAAAGCCTTCACAACCACTCTTGGAGGAAGGCCCACTTTTTTTTATTCATGTTATACTAAGTAACTCTTACTGATTGCTCACTCCCTCCCAGGCTGCTTTCTAGCCCATTCCATTTATTAGCTCAGCTAATCTTCAGCACAACCCTACGGGGCAGGTGCTGTCCCCCATTTTACGGGCACAGAATGTGAGGCCACAGAAATTAAATGAGCAGAGTACAGAGCTGCTGCATGTCAGACTTGGATGCAGCCTCGGGAGGCCGGAGTGGAGGCTGAGGCCATGTGCTCCGCATGCTCATGCCATGACCACCTCTGTGAAGAGGGATTCACGGACGTCAGGCAAGTGGCGGAATCCGCACAGACTCCAGTCTTGGGAGACCCCGGAATCTAACACACTAAAGGCTGCTGTGTCAGTTCTGGGGATCTCTGGAGACCCTGAAGGGTAACTCTGGAGTGGGCCAGAAGCACCCCTGTGTACTGACCCCTGTTGGAAACATTTCAAAGCCTTTAGAGCCCACACTCCTGCCTTCCCAAGGACAGCCTGGCAGATCAGCGCCCTGCCGAGCCTGCTGAGCACTGTCTCATGTGACCACATGGATGTCAGCAACCTTTGTCCCCCATGGGGGAGGCTCTGCTCCTTCTACATTGATTCCTACTTTGAGCCAGAAATCACAGGGAGAGGGTTATGCCAAAAGCTATTCTGAACAATTGGAGGTTTTATTCAAATTTGTCAGAGCAAATGAATAATTTGCACCAGGGAAGGAGTGGGCAGGGTGGGTGGTGAAGGACAGGGCCTCTGACTCACCTTAAGGGGCAGGTGGGCAGCAATGGTGACCCTGACGCCCAGGTGGTCGTGGCCATTGTTGTAGCTCACCAGGAGCGTGGTGGATCCCTGGGCCACGGCTCTTACCCTGACGCTGCTGCAGCGTTTAGAGCCAGGCGGCAGCCTCCCTGCACAAAGGGCCACAGGGCCACGTAAACTTGCCTTTGGCAGGAAAGGCACAACAGGCTGAGGCCCCTCTTTCATCTTGGGCTTGATCTGCAATCTGATGTTTTTAATTTAAAAATATTTAATTGTAATTCACATGAATACACAATTTATATAATAATCTTTTCCACATACTGAACACACCCTGTATCCAGTACCCAGATCAAGAAACAGATTATCAGCACCCCCAAAGTCTCCTGGAGACCCGTCTGATGTCTAGCCCCTCCCCTAAGAAAACCACTATCCTGACTTCTACCAGCACAGCTCAATTTTTGCTTGATGCTGTAGTTTCTATAAAGGGAATCACTGAGCATAAACCCTTTTGTATCTGACTTCCTCAGCTCAATATTGTTCATAAGATTCCTCATTTGTTGCAAATTGTACATCCTTTACCCACATTTCTATATATTAATATTATCCCATTGTGTGAATACAGAGCCATAGATTTACTCAGGCTACTGTGCACACTTCAGTTCCTTCCAGTTTGGGGCTCTGATCCACAGAGCTGCTCAGAACAAACGTGCACCTTCCTTTTTGGGGGCACGCTTAGACATTTCTGTTGGCTGTATCCAGACTCCTAGGCAATGGGGTGTGCATTGTTACTGCCAAATATCTTTCTCAAAGTGGTTCCATCAATTGAAAGTGCTACTAACAGCTGCCCTACAACCCTGCTTTATTTTCCATCAATGTTTTAATTAAATTTCTAAAACTTTATTTATTTTGATTCTGATAAAATACACATAACAAAAAACCTCCCAGCTTTGCACTTTTACATGCACAGTTCAGTGGTGTGAAGGACACTCACGTTGTGCAAGCATCTCCACCATTTATCTGCACAACTCATCCCATAAACCGAAACTCTGTACCAAATAAGCATTAACTCCCTAATTCCCGTGCCCCCTGGCAACCACCCTTCTACTTCCTGTCTCTATGAATTTGACTACTCTGGGTACCTCGTATAAGTGGAATTTGATAGTATTTACCTTTTGTGACTGGCTGATTCACTCAGCACAATGTCTTCCAGTTTCTTCCATGTGGTAGCATGTGACAGAATATTCATTTTTTAGGCTGAATAACAGTCCACTGTATGGATAGACCACATTCGGTATATCGATTCATCACTGGTGAACACTTGGGTTCCTTCCACCTTTCGGCCATTGTGAGTAACACTGCTATGAATGTGGGTGAACAAACACCTCTTCGAGATTGTGCTTTCAATTCCTTTGGGTATATACCCAGGTGTAGGTTTGCTGGATCACATGGTAAATCTGTTTAAGTTTTTGAGGAACCATGATACTATTTTCAACAGTGGCGACATCATTGAACATTCCCTCCACCAGTGCACTAGAGTTCCAATTTCTCCACATCTTCACCCACACTTACTGTTTTCTGTTGTTGTTTGGATAATAGCCATCCTAAAGGGTAGAAAGTGGTTTTTCATCGTGGTTTTGATTTGCCTTACTCTGGTGATTACTAATGCTGAACATTTTTTCATGAGGATGTTGGCCATTTGTATATCATCTTTGGAAAGATATCTATGCAAGCCGTTTGCCCATTGTTTAATTGGTCTTATTTGTTTTATTCTTGTCAACATGTAAGAGTTCTCTATATATTCTAGATGGGAACCCCTTATATCAGGTATATGATTTGCAGGTATTTTCTCCCATTCCATAGGTTATCTTTGACTATGCTGTGTCCTTTGATACACAGAACTTTTAGATTTTTTATTTGAGATAGAGTCTCATTCTGTTGCCCGTACTAGAGTGCCATGGCATTAGCCTAGCTCACATCAACCTCCAACTCCTGGGCTCAAGCGATCCTCCTGCCTCAGCCTCCCAAGTAGCTGGGACTACAGGCATGCGCCACCATGCCCGGCTAATTTTTTCTCCTTTTTGTAGAGACAGAGTCTCGCTCTTGCTCAGGCTGGTCTCAAACTCCTGACTTCAAGCAATCCTCCCACCTACCCCTCCAAGAATGCTAGGATTAAAAGTGTGAGCTACTGTGCCTGGCCAGAACTTAGATTTTGATATAGTCCAGTTGACCTACTTTTAATTTGTAGCCTCTGCTGTTGATTATATCCAAAAAATCAATGCTAAATCCATTATCCTGAAGCTTTTCTATGTTTTCTTCCAGGAGTTTTATAGTTTTAGCCTTTAACATTTAATCTTCAATTCGCTGTGAGTTAATTTTTGTGTATCATGTTATGTCAGGGTCCAACTTCATTCTCTTGCATGTGAATGCCCAGTTGTCCCAGCACCATTTGCTGAAGAAACTGTCCTTTCCCCATTGGACAGTCTTGGCACTCTTGTCAAAAAGCAGTTAACCATGCATGGCAGGATTATTTCTGGGCTCAGTATTCTATTCCATCACTCTGTCTGTCCATGCCTGTTTTGATGACAGGAGCTTGTAATGAGCTTTGAAAACAGGAAGTGTAAGACCTCCAGGTTTGTTCTTTTTCAAGATTTTTTTGTTTATTTGGGTTTCCTTGAGAGTCCATATGCCTGATACTTTGCTAAATTTGCTTTAGTTGTTACAATTCTTGTGTGGAATCTTAAGTGTTTTCTACATATGAGATCATGCCATTTCAAACAGGTAACTTTACGTCTCCCTTTTCAATTTCAGTACCTTTTGTTTCTTTATTTATTATATTTTATTTATTTTATTATTCCTTTTATTTCTTTCTCTTGCCTAATTGCTCTTTCATTTATTGGTGTCACCAGATTACATGTGTATGCACTATGTGTCCAAAAACATCAAATAATAATCAGATTTTTTGATACATTAGTCTCTTAAATCATGGACAAAACAAAAGTAGTACTAGCTTTTATAACTGTCTATGTATTTACCTTTACCAGAGGTCTTTATTTCTTCATAAAGATTTGAGTTCCTGTCTAGTGTCCTTTCTTTTCAAATGGAAGGACTCCCTTCATTCAGAGAAGGTCTGGTGGTACTTAGCTTTTGGTTATCTGGCAATGTCTTAATTTCTCCCTCATTTGTGAAGCACAGTTTGTGGATATAGCTTTCTTGGTTGACAGACTTTTTTTTTCTCCCTTCCATGACTTTGAATATTTCAACCCACTGACTTCTGGCCTTCATGTTTTTTTGATGACAAGTCTGATGATGATCATGTGGGGAAATTATGATGAGAATTATCTTCCTAGCAGATGTTAATAATGGACCTTATTTTGCATCACACACCACAGAACACATTTTGATAGTATCATGATGTCAGCTATGTTGTAGCATCATTTTGACACCAATCAGAATTTAAAGAAAAATAAATTGGATATTTCAAGTATAGCCACGATGAGGCTTTTAAAAGCCTAAAGTTACGACAGATTTTCAAAGTATAAATACAAAGGGCCCTGAAGCATTGTACAGGTTTAAATTTCTAATAAATTAAATATTAATAATCTATATAACCATGTAAATAAAAAACACTTGCTTTCTTTAGAGAGGAAAATGTTCTTACAACCAAAAAGGGAAAAAGCCACTGTGGGTTATCCCTAGCCCTGATTGTCCCATTTCTTGCTTTCACCTCATAAAGAGCCACTGTTATCGAATTGGTAAAACCTATATAAGCTCCTGGCTAGTCCTAGGTCTTCGGTCCTTATAGTCCAGAAAGCTGCTCTCTGGTGACCTGTAGAGTTTGACTCTAGTGAGAGTGAGACTGTTTTTTCCTTGTTAGTTAGCATTGTTAGTATAGTTAATGTAGTTTGTTGGTAGTGTTAGCATAGTATAGTTAGTATTGTTTATTAGTAGTGTTAGCACACCTAGTATTATTAGTATTGTTAGCCTAGTTCATAGAGTCAGTATTGTTAGTGTTATCAGAATACTTAGTATTATTAGTATTCTTAGCCTAGTTAGTATAGTTAGTATTGTTCAGTAGTTACTTAGCATAGTTTGTGTAGGTAGGTACTGTAGAGTTAGCATAGAGGTGACCATGCAGCAGGGCTTGGCTTCCAGGTCCTCCCTTGAGAAGCTTAACAACTTTAAGGTCCTCCAGACCCTTAGCTGGGGCAGCTTCACCAAATTAGCTGGGGCAGCTTCACCAAATGATGCTGGCCCAGCACCTTCCTGCTGGGACCCAGGTGGCCATCAAAATTGTCTCAAAGCAGAGACTTTCCAGCCTTGAAAGTGTCTATAAGGAGGTTGAAGCAATGAAGACCCTGAATCATCCAAACATCCTAAAGCTGTTGGATGCCATAGACAGTAAAGACACCATTTACTTAGTAACAGAATACATGAGTGGCAGAAACCTTTTTGAGTATATACTCTGACATGGCTACCTGGAGAAGGAGGCAGCCCAGGCCAAATTCCAACAGATCCTTTCTGCCATGTAGTACTGCCAACATAAGATCATCCACTGGGACCTGAAGCCCCACAACATTCTACTCTATGCCGATAATAATGTGAAACAGCTAACTTTGGCTTGATCGTGACATTTGGTGAAGGGAAGAAGCGGGATACCTTTTGTGGGACTCTCTTGTATGCTGCCCCAGAAATGTTTCTGCACCAGGAGTATAATGGGCTGGAGGTGGATGTGTGGAGCCTCAGTGTTGTCCTCTACATCTTGACAGCCGGGACTCTTCCATTTGATGAATAGGGTTTCAGGGACCTTGGAAGTCAGGTTGTATACAATACCTCTTTTCTTTTCAGATGAACTCAAACTTTTTCTCAAAAGTTCCTGACCCTTGACCCCAGGTAGAGGCCCACCCTCTTCCAGATTATGAGTGACAACTGGATAAATTCTGGGCAGGAGACACTGAGGCCATACACAGAGCTGTCTGCAGATGAGGCCATAGGGAACAGGACATGAGAGGAGACCGGGAAAATCCTCCAGGCTGCGCAGCCAGACGGGAGGACCTCAACCTCTCCCTCTGAAGACGGCCAGGGCTGGCAGGGGCTCACAGGAGATTTGTCAACTTCATGCTGAGACTGTGCTGATTCCTGCTGGCCCAAGAGAGCCTCTGCAAAACAAACAAGGTAGTGCCCATGAATGCAGAGGACAGCTGACGCAGAGACAAAAAGCAACTATTGGGGCAGTCAAGCCATGCTTTCCATTCTATTTTATTAATTATGGTTTTATTCATATGATTTTTAATTGACAAGTCATAGCTGTATACATGTATGGGGTACAATATGAAGTTTAGGTACATGTACACTATATGGAATGTGACTTAAAGCTAATTAACATATCAGTCTTAGTAGGATGTATATTTTTAGGAATTTACTCATTTCTTCTATGTTATCCAGCTTGTTGGCATAAAATTGTTCTTAGTCTCTTATGATCGATTGCATTTCTGTGGCATCAGTTGTAATGTCTCCTCTTTCATTTCAGATTTATTTGAGTTGTCTTTTTTTTTCTACTTATGGTTTATTGTGTTTATCTTTAAAAAACACAGCTCTTCATTTTTTTTTGTTGTCTTTCTTGTCTCTATTTATTTGTTCTGATTTTGTTATTCTATTAACATTGGGCTTTATTCTTCTTTTTCTACTTCCTTGAGGTGTAACATTTGGTAATTGACTTAAAATTTTGTTTCTTTTTTAATGTTGGTGTTTATTGTTATAAACTTTCCTCTCAGGACTGCTTTTGCTATATCCCATAAGTTTCGGTATATTGTGTTTACATTTTCATTTGTTTTAAAACATTTTTTATTTCCCTTTTGATTTCTTTTTGATCCATTGTTCAGGAATGTGTGGTTTAATTTCCATACATTTGTGTATTTTCCAAAGTTCCTCCTATTATTGATTTCTAGTTTCATAACATTATGTTTGGAGAAAATCCTTGGTATGATTTCGATCTTTAATTTGTTAAGACTTTTTTGTGGCCTAAACCTAGTATGATCTATCCTGCAGAATGTTTCATGCGTTCTTGAGAAGAAAGTGTATTTTGGTGCTGTTGGATGAAATGTTCTGTATATGTTCCTAGGTCTAGTTGGTCTGAAGAGTAGTACCAGTCCTGTGTTTCCTCACTGATTGTCTACCTGCATGATCTACCCATTATTGAGTCCTCTATTATTGTATTACATTTTATTTCTCCCTTCAGATCTATTAGTATTTGCTTTATATATTTAGGTACCCCCAGTTTAGCTATATATATATTTACAATTGTTATATCTTCTTAATGAATTGAATCCACTACCACTTCAGTGCTCTTCTCTGTCTCTTCTTACAGCTTTCGAGGTGAAATCTATTTTGCCTGATACAAGTTTAGCTACCTCTGTTCTCTTTTGGTTTCTATTTTCATGGAATATCATTTTCTATCCCTTCACTTTCCAGTCTATGTGTGTCCATAAAGCTGGAATGAGCCTCATATAGGCAGCAGATAGTTGGGTCTCGTTTTGGTTTTGTTTTGTTTTGTTTTGTTTTGTTTTGTTTTGGGGGGGTTTAAATCCATTTAGCCACTTTGTATCTTTTCATTGAAAAATTTAATCCATTTACATTCAAGATAATTATTGATAGGTAAGGATTAACTATTGCCATTTGTTAATTGTCTCTAGTTGTTTTGTAGATCCTTTCTTCCTCCCTCACTGTCTTTGTGGTTTCTTTGGATAGTGATACACTTTGATTCCTCTCTCTCTCTCTTTTCTTTGGGGGGCAGGGAGAGTTGGCAGAGCTAGCTGATGCTTTATTTTGGGAAAAGCAATTGAATTGGTTTTCAGTTGGGGGCATGGGTAAGAGGGGGTACCCCAGGCAGTAACTCCCCTCGCTAGTGGGCAGAGGGCTGGGGCTGAGCCTCAGGTGGGTCTCCTGTTTCCCTGTGCTCCCTGGCACAGCTGCCTCCCCCACAGGCTCTGGGGTAGCAAGTCGAGGGTGTAGGCTGGAGGGGCCGCAGTGGCCATTCACTAGGGCAGGAAATCAGATGACTCAGATACCAGCTTCTCATCGTGGGTCTTGATCTTCTTCACTACCACAGCCCTCGAGGAGCTGGTATGGCTGAAGGAGCCAGAGCTCCCACCAGAGCCAAAGCAGGGTGGGAAGGAGCTCAGGCCACAGCTGAGGCCAGGGCTTGTGAGGCCCCTGTAGGCCGAGCTCAGCCCACCTGAGTAGCTGCTGGTGGTCTTCGTGTGGATGCTCATGCTCTGCATCCCAGACTCCAGCCGACTTTCCTCGCACCCCAGCAGCTTGCGGTAGGTGGCGATCTCGATGTCCAGGGCCAGCTTGACATTCATCAGCTTCTGGTACTCACGCACGCAGCTGCCGCGCCATGCCCTGCTTGGCTCACTGCAGGGCGGCATTCAGCTCGTCCACGTTGGCCTTGGCATCGGTAACGTCCAGATTCTCGCACTGCTCAGCATCCGCAATGGCAGCCTCCAGGGAAGCCCTCTGGCCTTTAAGACCTTCGATCTCAGCCTGCAGCCAGCTGATGTTCCGGTTCAAGTTGGAGATCTCTGTCTTCGTGCGATGCAGGTCATCCCTATGCTTCCCAGCCAGAACCTCCAGCTCCTCCTACTTGGTCTGGTACATGCTCTCAGACTCAGCCCAGCTGCGGGTGACGATCTCCTCGTACTGGGCGAGGACCTCAGCGATGATGCTATCCATGTTCAGCGAGCAGATGTTATCATGGACAGAACCACAGATGTGTCCGAGATCTGGGACTGCAACTCACAGATCTCCTCTTCATGTAGCTGCCTGAGGAAGTTGATCTCATCAGTCAGCCCTTCCAGGCGAGACTCCAGCTCTACCTTGTTCATGTAAGCTTCATCCACATCCTTCTTGATGAGGACAGATTCATTCTCCATCTCTGTACACTTGTTGATCTCATTCTCATACTTATTCTTGAAGTTCTCCACCAGCCCCTGCATATTGCCAAGCTCCCCCTCCAGCTTCAGCTTCTCCTGGCCCAGTGTGTCCAGCTGTAGCAGAAGGTTGCTGATGTAGTTGTCAAACATGCCATTCATGGTGCTCCAAGCTGCTTTCTGCTGCTGCAGGAGGCTCCACTTGGTCTCCAGCATCTTGTTCTGCTGCTCCAGGAACCGCACCTTGTCGATGAAGGAGGCAAACTTGTTGTTGAGGGCTTTGATCTCCTCCTTCTCCTGGTTGCACACAGCCTGCATGTTGAGGGCCACCTCCAGATTGAGGGGGCTTAGCAGGTTCTGGTTCACTGTGATGGCTGTGATGCCCCCCATACCACTGGCCGGGCATAGCCGCCACCCAGACCCATTCCCAGGCCACCTGGAAGCCGCTGCTGCCCACCCAGGAGAAGCTCAAGGAGCTGATGTGGGCACTGGGCCCGGTGGTATACAAGTGGCTGCTGAAGGCCCAGGGGCCATAGGGGGACATCTTGTAGGACCCTCTGGGTCACCCTGATGGACATGATGGAGGCTGGAGTGGAGGCAGGCAGGCAGAACCAAACAGAGATTCAAGAAGAAGCGAGAGGCCGGGCGCTGTGGCTCACGCCTGTAATCCTAGCTCTTGGGAGGCCGAGGCGGGCGGATTGCTCAAGGTCAGGAGTTCAAAACCAGCCTGAGCAAGAGTGAGACCCCGTCTCTACTATAAATAGAAAGAAATTAATTGGCCAACTGATATATATAGAAAAAATTAGCCGGGCATGGTGGTGCATGCCTGTCCCAGCTACTTGGGAGGCTGAGGCAGAAGGATCACTCGAGCCCAGGAGTTTGAGGTTGCTGTGAGCTAGGCTGACGCCACGGCACTCACTCTAGCCTGGACAACAAAGCGAGACTCTGTCTCAAAAAAAAAAAAAAAAAAAAAGAAGAAGAAGCGAGAAGCTGCTTCTAGGTGGATCTCTTCCTTCTACTAGAAGTTTTTGCTTACCATGAGACTTACATAAAACATCTTATAACAGGTTATTTTAAGCTGATAGCAACTTAACTTTGACCACATATAGAAACTCTACACCAGGGGTCCTCAGACTTTTTAAACAGGGGGCCAGGTCACTGTCCCTCAGACCATTGGAGGGCTGTTGGAGAGTGCGGGGCACATTCCACACATGCGCACTGTGGGCTGGTGACGAGTCTGCTGCTAAGCAGGACAGCCAGTGGTGGCAAAAACACGGGGTGGGCTGGATAAATGTCCTCCACGGGCCACATGTGGTCCTCGGGCCGCAGTTTGAGGACACCTGCTCTACACAGTTACTCCTGCCCCTATTTTATGTTTTTAATGTTAGAGTTTGTACCTTTTTAACTTGTATGTCTCTTAAGAAATTATTGTAACTAGGCTGGGCGTGATGGCTCACGCCTGTAATCCTAGCTCTCTGGGAGGCCGAGGTGGGAGGATTGCTCAAGTTCAGGAGTTCGAAACCAGCCTGAGCAAGACCGAGACCCCTTCTCTACTAAAAATACAAAAAAATTAATTGGCCAAATAATAATATATAGAAAAAACTAGCCGGGCAGGGAGGCTGAGGCAGAAGGATCACTTGAGCCCAGGAGTTTGAGGCTGCTGTGAGCTAGGCTGACGCCACAGCACTCTAGCCGGGGCAACAGAGTGAGACTTTGTCTCAAAAAAAGAAAAAAGAAAGAAATTATTGTAACTATAGTTATTTTTAACCGTTTTGTCCCTTAACCTTTATACTAGAGATATAAGTGATTTTCATACCACCATTACAGTATCAGGGTCTGGATTTGACTACAGTAGTCTCCCCTTATCCATGATTTCCTTTCCCAAGTTTCGGTTATATACAAATGATATCTGAAAATATTACCTGAGAAAATAAACAGAAATAAGAATCCCGTAAGTTTTAAATTCTGTCATTCTGAGTAGTATGATGAAATCTTGCACTGTCCCACCTAGGATGTGAATCATCCCTTTGTCCAACATCTCCATGCTGTCTATGCTACCTGTCTGTCAGTCTCTTAGTAGCCATTTCAGTTATCAGATCGACTGTTATGGTATCTCAGTGCTTGTGTTTAGTAATCCTTATTTCGCTTAATAATGGCCCCAAAGCTCAAGAACAGTGATGCTGGCAATTCTAGTATTCCAAGGAGAAGCCATATAGTACATCCTTTAAGTGAAATGGTGAAAGTTCTAGTCTTAATAAGAAAAGGAAAATAAATTATATGCTGAGGTTGCTAAGACCTATGGTAAGAACAAATCTTCTATCCATGAAATTGTAAGGGGGAAAAAGAAATTTATGCTAGCTTTGCTGTAGCACCACAAACTGTAAAATTTATGGCCACAGTGCATAATAAGTGCTTAGTTAAGAAGAAAAAGGCAATAAATTTGTGGGTAGAAGACATGAACAGATATGTGTTCCGGTTGATGGGAATCAGGTTTAGGACTACCATGTTTTCAGTCATTTCCTGAGGGTCTTGGAATGCACCCTCTGGGGTTAAGGGGAACTACTGTACTGAGTATGTCTGCAATTACAGAGCTTTAAACCACATGAAGAATATGACAAAACAAAATGAACGAAATGACAAATCCACAATCATAGGTTTTAAAAGTTCTTTCTTAATTATTTATAGAATAATCAGCCAAAAATTCAATATAGATAACAGAATGTTGAATGATACATTAACCAACATTACCTATTTGGTATTTATAAGACATTCCAGCCAACATGTACATTCTTTTTAAATGCACGTTAAATATTCACCAAGATAGCCATAAGCTGGGCTATTAAACATTACCCATAATATCAAAAAACTAAAATTATCCATATTACATCCATGAACTATACAGAATTAAAGAAGAAATATGTGATATCAGATGTCTGGAAAATGTCCAAATGCTAAAATACTAAGGGACACACTACAAAATAACTGCTTTTCAAAGAAAAAAAATAGCAAAAGCAATTAGAAAATATTCCAAACTGAATGAATGTAAAAATGTACAATGTAGCTACTCAGTAAACCTGTGGAAATTAAAATACTTTTAAGTGTTTGTAACAGAGAAAAGAAAAAAGGAAGGATAAAATAAGTAATCTGTGCTTCCACATAAAGAAGAGAGAAAGATAAAAGAATATTGCATAAAAATATGTAGAAGAAATAAAGTAGATTAAAATTGGAAACCAATAAAATAGAAAAGGAAAAAAGACAATAAAGGAAACTTGCAAGGCATTAAGATTGTTCTTGGGACAGATTAATGAAATTGATATCTTCCAGAAAAATGGGTCAAACAATAAAGAGAAGGCACAAATGACCAATCTGAGGAATAACAGAGAAAATAGTGTAGACATTGAAAAGGTAATAGGAACAATTTTATAAATAAATTTGACATTTTAGATGAAATGAACAAAATGCTTCTGAGATACTGCAAGCTACAAAAACTCCTTCAGAAAACAGGAGGAAGGGACACTTGCCAATTCTTGTCATGAGGCCTGTAAAATCTTGACACACACCTGACAATGATGTTACAAGTTAATTAGAAGTCTCTATCCTCATTAACTTAGAAGCAAAAATCATTAAAAAAATATTAAAAACAGAATCCAGAATTACATAAAAAGGATAACAAATCGTAAATGGTATTTACTTCAGAAATGCAACTTGGGTTAACACTAGAAAATCCATAATTCACCAAAAACATAATAAACAAGAAAAACTGTATGATCTTATCAAGAGATACTTATGCAATTAAAACAACTCAACATCAATTTATGATTTTAAAAAATGACTCCCAACAGACCAGACTTAGATGGGAACTACCCCATCCCAATAATTAAACCATTAGTTAAAAGCATATGCAGTGGTGAAACATTGAAAGCTTACCTTCTTACATATAAAGAAAAATATCAAGGGTTTCAGCTCTCACCACTTTTATTCAATAATGTACTGGTGGTATAGTCCAGCAAAAAGAGGAATTAAAAAGAAATAAATATTGGAGAACTGATATTACTGGAGAACTTTCCTTATTCATAGACAACATTGTCATGGCCTGATTACAGGATGTGGGATGAACACAGAACATACAATAACAACACAGACGCACATGGACATGAAATGACTCAAGTGTCCAATACACCGGTAGGTTTATTTTTATACCCCTAGACTCAAGGTTAGTTCCTTGTACGTGAGCATCTGAACATAGCAGTGATATCAATTCCGGAGTTGTTTCAAAAGGGAACAATTTCCCATGGTCTCAGACCTCAAAATGGTTACTTGAGGTGCCAGCGCTGGACATAACTCAAAAACCAAGGCCAAGATAAGCAATATTGAACAATGCAGCCATTAGAAGAACTTCTTGTGCTCTTTCCCAGCCAGCGGCTCTCTCCCAGCCAGCGGCCGACCCCTACAGTTGTGTCTGTCTCAGGTCGCCCCCTCCGCCATCGGGGATCTTACCTGTCATTGACTACCAACCATCATACGGGGCTGGACCTTGGGAATGTTCTTCTTATCAATATGACTTCCAGACTCCCACCATGGGGCCCTCTGTGTGGGAGCTGGGCAATATTTGCTCATGTGCAGAAACTCAGGCCTCTTGTTATGTCCCAATGCAGTAACCATGTCTGAAGAACATGCTGGCTACCACTACGTCATGCAGCACACGTACATTACAGGCTATAGTGAATGATTAGTATAAGGCATAACACCAGAATCAGCCCCCAACACAACATAATCATGTATGTAGAAAATGTAAAGGGATATATTTCAAAAATAATAAAAATAATATATAAAGTAAACAAGGTTCCTAAATAATTGTGTTTATAATAATCAAATGTATTCCTATTTATAAGCAAGGAACAGTTGAGAAATGAAATTTAAAAGAAATATGATACAGTACTTCATTAGAATCAGACACATCAGCACAAACCCAGATTTAATATATATAGATGGATACATACAGAAATAATTATAAAAAGGTTTATATATACAGGTAAGTATTGATACATAGATTTCCTTGTTCAGTTTGCTTAGTGCCTATAAGCAAAAACACACCAAAAGCAACAACGACACACAGAACCCAGATTTTGGTTTCTAACACCATCCACTAATAAAAGTACCCTTGGAAAAATGGCTTATTCTAGCACCCGGGCAGGAAGTATATAAGGTGAACCTGGAACATGTAAGTCCAGAAAGTAAGAAAGTGCTAAAAAAAAAAAAAAAAAAAAAAAAAATCATAGTTAACAGCCTATGTTAAAGGGACAAAGCACCAACTAAAAGAGTTCCCATTCTCTGCCAGACTTTATTGTTAAGAAGAAAAAATTTAAAAAAAAAAAAAGAGTTCCCAATGGCCAAACTCTTTTATCCGCTGTAACTACGCGGATAAAAGAGTTTGAGAAATTTATACTGTACTCCTCTGAGTCTTTCTTGAACATTAACATGTGCTTGAAGCCTGGCGCGGTGGTTCAATGCCTGTAATCCTAGCGCTCTGGGATTCTGAGGCTGACGGATCACTCAAGGTCAGGAGTTCAAGACCAGCCTGAGCCAAGAGCAAGACCCTGTCTCTACTAAAAATAGAAAGAAATTAATTGGCCAACTAAAAATATATATAGAAAAAATTAGCTGGGCATGGTGGCAGATGCCTGTAGTCCCAGCTACTCAGGAGGCTGAGGCAGGAGGATTGCCTGAGCCCAGGAGTTTGAAGTTGCTGTGAGCTAGGCTGATGCCACGGCACTCTAGCCAGGGCAACAGAGTGAGACTCTGTCTCAAAATGAATAAATAAATAAAAGGTAGTATTGCCGGGCGCGGTGGCTCACGCCTGTAATCCTAGCTCTCTGGGAGGCCGAGGCGGGCGGATTGCTCGAGGTCAGGAGTTCGAAACCAGCCTGAGCAAGAGCGAGACCCCGTCTCTACTATAAATAGAAAGAAACTAATTGGCCAACTAATATATATAGAAAAAAAAAAATTAGCCGGGCATGGTGGCGCATGCCTGTAGTCCCAGCTACTTGGGAGGCTGAGACAGAAGGATCGCTTGAGCCCAGGAGTTTGAGGTTGCTGTGAGCTAGGCTGACGCCACGGCACTCACTCTAGCCTGGGCAACAAAGTGAGACTCTGTCTCAAAAAAAAAAAAAGAAAAAAAAAAAAGGTAGTATTAATAGTATATCCACACAATGAAATATCATTATACAACCATAAAAAGAAATGAAGTACTGATTATGTTACCACACAGATGATCCTGGAAAACATTATGCTAAGGGAAAAAAGCCAGATGAAGAAGGCCACGTAGTGTATAAAAATTCATTTGTATGAAATGTCCTGAACTGGGAAACTCATAAAGACAGATACTAGATTATTCGTTGCCAGGGTACTGGTGGAGAGGTGAGGTGAGGTAGTGAAGATTGACAGATTGTAAGTATCAAGTTTCATTTGGGGTAAAGGGAAATGTTTTGGAATTAGTTAGCAGGAATGGTTGTGTAAAATAATGAATATATTAAAAGTCACTAAATTATGCTTTTTTAAATGTGAATTTAAAATTTGAATTATATCTCAATAACAAGATGTAATGAGGTGAAATAAAGACATTTTTAAGACAAAGGAAGCTAAGGAAATCCAAAAGTAGTAGACCTTCATTAAAGGAAATTCTTGAGGAAGAAGGAAAATGATACAGATGGGAATTGGAGTCTACAGAAAGATGGAAGACAGCCAGAAATGGTAAATTATAAAAATAGAAAATACATATTATACTAAAATAGCATATAATCAACTAAATTATAAAATATACTGCCTGTTAAAACAAAAATAACAATTACTTTGTGTTTAAAGCATATGTAGAATTTAAAAATACAACAAAAATAGCACAAAAGGTAAGACAGGAAAACTGTAAGTATAGCTCTATAAGATTCATCCACTTCACACAAAATGGGCATTGTATTATTTGAAGGTAAACTACAATGAGTTAAAGATGTATCTTATAAATCCTAATGCAATCACTAAAAATATAAAGCAAAGATTTTGGCTTATTACCAATAAGCCAATTATGGAGATGAAAATGAATTCTAAAATATACTTAAATAATACAAAAGAAGGCAAGAAAAGTAAAGAAGCAAAAACAAACAAATAAAAAACACACACAGAAAAAAATCCAGATGGGACATGTAAAAGATAAATAGCAAATTGTTAGACTGACACCCATCGATATCAACAATGTCAATGCAATGGTATAAACACCCCAATTAAAGAGCAAGAGTCAAGAAAAAAATATTATTTGGAATAAGCTGGGACATTTTATAATGATAGGAGGAGGAGAAGGGTAGGAGAAGACACTGATAAAATTTCTATTTTATTACAACTAATTCTTATAAATTCTAAGGTTGCATTATAAAGCAAAACATATAAAACAATATAAATTAAGGTAAATATGTATATACCATTTATATTTACTTATAAACAAGTATAAAATATCTTGTAAGGCACCGTGGAAGGCCGAGGCGGGCAGACTGCTTGAGGTCAGGAGTTCAAAACCAGCCTGAACAAGAGCAAGACTCTGTCTCTACTATAAATAGAAAGAAATTAATTGGCCTAATATATAAAAAAAAAAAATTAGCCGGGCATGGTGGTGCATGCCTGTAGTCCCAGCTATTCGGGAGGCTGAGGCAGGAGGATTGCTTGAGCCCAGGAATTTGAGGTTGCTGTGAGCTAGGCTGATGCCACGGCACTCACTCTAGCCTGGGCAACAAAGCGAGACTGTCTCAAAAAAAAAAAAAAATCTTCATTGTGGTATTCAGCAGATAGTATATAACCTCCAAATATTCACCAACATTTGTTCTTTTTTTTAATAGTTAATTTTATAATTTTTATTTATCTTTAATTGTAAATTAACAAATTATAGTTGTATATATTTGAGGTACAAAGTAATATTGTGATTTATGAATATGTGACATAATTAAACAAAGCTAATTAACATATTCATCACATCTCAAATACTTATTTCTTGTGATGAAAACATTTGAAATTTACTCTCAGCAATTTTATTTTTTATATTTTTTTTAATTTTTATTTTTGTTTTATTGCCTTTCAGGTCACATATAGAAATACTTATGGTTAAAAAGTGAAAATCATGGATGTACCATTTTGTGTTTAACGCAACAAAAATGCAGCTAAGCACTAATTTTAGGGAACACAACAGAAGCTGTGACTGAGTCCTTTAATTCAGTTCAAGGAGTATGTCGAGACAGACATAGTTGTACTGAGTTCTGCATTTTAGGTGTGATTATGTTCATTATTTAGAGTCATTTTTTTTTAATTTGTAAGGTATGTGAGAATATTCAGTTGGCAAAAAATGTTTATGTTATTAAGGAGAACTTACAGATATCTTTTGGAAAATTCAGATGTTGCCCTTAAATTACAGACATTGTTTTTATATTCTTGAAAAAAGATTATTAAAAGCAAGCCTTAAGTACAGTTCTGGTGCCATCTTGTGTCTAATATTGAGTTCAGCGCTGTAAATAAGAAAAAAATTACGCACAGCAGAGGTATATGCAGGGAGAGGTAAGTTACCAGGCGTTCCTGAAAATCTGGGGAGGTGCAACTGGAGAGGGAGGCTGGGGCCGGCTCCTGCGAAGGCCCTCATCTCACAGGCACTGAAGGGTTTTGGCAGCTGAGTGACACGATCAGATGTGGGTTTTCGAACAATTCAGCAGTAGGCACACAGGCACGGACCGTGACACAGATCGGATGCCTAGGAGGTCTGTGTTTCCTGCCTCTGTTTACCGCCTGGATTCTTGGGCCCCGCCACTGGAACAACGGCCTCCTACGAGAAGGTCAGCAGGAATTACTGGCTCATTTGCTCACGTCTATATCACCCCTGCCTAGAACAGTATCTGGTACATTACACTTTTTACTTAAAAATAAAAGGAGGGGGCGAGCGTGGTGGCTCATGCCACTTTGAGAGGCCAAGACGGGAGGATTGCTTGAGGCCAGGAGTTCGAGACCAGCCTAGAGCAAGAGCGAGACCCCATCTCTACAAAAAATAGAAAAATTAGCCACGTGTGGTATAGGTATAGTCCCAGCTACTCAGGAGGCTGAGGCAGGAGGATCTCTTGAGCCAAAGAGTTTGAGGTTGCTATGAGCTATGAGGACGCCACTGTCCTCTAGCAGGGGCAACAGACCTTGTTTAAGAAACAGTAAAAAAATAAATAAAAGGAGGATATTTTTCCCTATATAAGACTTCGTGATAATACTGTCAAAATACAGATTTCCTCTCCCACCCATCCCCAAAGCCTTTTTTTTTTTTTCTTTTTTTGCAGTCTTGCCTTCACACTGGCCGGAGGGGCAGGCGTCGCTCTCCTCACCTCACGGATGACAACGCTGAAGTTCGGGGAAGTCGCCCCCGGCAAAGGCAAAGGCCCGGCTCCCGCACCGGAGCCCCACTGCCAGGCCCCAGGCCGCCGCCCGTCCTGTGCACATCGGCGCGACCTCGGGTCCCCCTCAGGCTGCCCCTGCGCGGGCCGCCTCGCCCACTGACGCTCTCCGGGCCTCCGAGTCACAGATCTCCCACAGGAAGCGCCAGGAAATGCTGCGCATAAACACGAGGAACCGCCATCGTCCCGAAAGCGCGATCTTCACACTGACGTCCCCACAACGCCTCCCTCCCCGCCGTGACCCGAACGCCGCGGACCCCAACGGAAGACGCGGCATCCCACCCCGCCCGGATATACGGAGAGACTACCCACGGGCTGGAGGGCTTAGGAAAGGCTGCGCAAACCAGCATCTCCTGCCTCCCTCCGTGGCCCTGACTTTACAGCACCTCCAGCACCGTCGCCCCTCTGCCAACTGCCACCGCTTCAGGTAGGCGCGGCCGCCGGGCTCCTTTCTCAGGTGCTGGGTTCTGTCAGACGCGCGCCGCCCCGCCCCTCTCGGCTGCCCCGGACTCGCCCCGCCCACCCGGCCCCGCTCGGCTCCGCCCACCTCGCCTCCTTTCTGTTCGGCTCCACTCGGCCCCTTTCGGCCGCTCCCCACTCCCTCGGCCCATCCACTCGGCTCCGCTCGGCCCCTTTCGGCTGTTCCCCACTCCCTCGGCCCATCCACTCGGCTCCGCTCGGCCCCTTTCGGCTGTTCCCCACTCCCTCGGCCCATCCACTCGGCTCCGCTCGACCCCTTTCGGCTGCTCCCCACTCCCTCGGCCCATCCACTCGGCTCCGCTCGGCCCCTTTCGGCTGCTCCCCACTCCCTCGGCCCATCCACTCGGCTCCGCTCGACCCCTCTCAGCTGCACCCGACTCCCTCGGCCCATCCACTCGGCTCCGCTCGGCCCCTTTCGGTTGTTCTCCACTCACTCGGCCCATCCACTCGGCTCCGCTCGGCTCCCGCCCTCGCCTGGCGCGCTCGGCCCCTTGGCTCTTTCGGCAACTGGAACAACGCCGAGTCACCTGTTCGCCCCGCGGGCCCGGGATGCATTCGTTTGTTCTGTCTGACTCGGCCCACTTCGGCCCTGGTCGGGTTCCCTCCACCACAGCTCGGCCCCACCCTGCCTGCTTTCTTGCCTCTTCAGTCACGTAGGAAGCCCCCTCGTGCGCGTGTCTCCCCTCGCTCTCCCGGCTGCTCTGGGGGAGCTCTTTTCCACAAGACCCGGGAAGGGTCTCACGAAGTGCCTGTCGTCCTGGACACCACGGGAGCTGAGGGACAACCTGCAGTTCTGCAGTTCTGGACTCTACAACCTGCAGTTCTGCAGTTCTTTCATTCCTCAGAACGAAAGAGTCTGGTCCATAGTAGGTGGAGTGTAGTGTAATTTGAGTTTAAATCAAAGGATATTGTCAAAATTTTATAAATCCCATGAATTTTAAAAGAAGAGTTATTCATGTATAAAACATGTTGCTCCTGTGCTCCCTGCCAACAGGACACAGGGACTTTTCACTTTTCCCATTTTGCAGAGAGGCAAGGCCTTAACTGTCACCTCCCCCCAGCACCCACCTTGCAGCTGGTCACCTCCAGACACCCCAGCAGAGAGAGGGACAAGCAGGCCAACTTTGTAGGACATCTCCGAGGAGGTTCTTCTTCCAATAACAGGTGAAGAAAACACATGAAGTCAGAGTTTACCCACAAAACTTCTTCCAGTATGTGTCATAGGCAAAATCGCCAGGACCACAAGCTCTAGGTCGGTGCTTTGCAGTAGCAATGGCATGTGAATCATGGACATAATTTTAAATTTCCTAGTAGTGATTTAAAAAGTAGAGATAAATGGGTAAAATTAATTTTAATAAAATATTTTTATTAAACCCAATACACTCAAAAGCACGTCATGAACATAAAAGTCATTAACGAGATATTTTACATTATTTTTTTCATACTAAGTCTTTGAGAATCTGGCAAATATTTTACACTTACAAATCACATTTCGATGGAGAGGAGACATATTTCAAGTGCTCAGTAGCCACATGTGGCCAGTGGAACAGCGCAGCTCTAGACATCATAATATTGCAAATGCTACTCCCAGGACAGACAAGTCCACCCGCACAGGCTTCAGGCACCTGCCAGAGGTGATTCAGGACAATAGGCAGGGAGGCAGCTAGCACTAACAGCAACTTTGTGTGGAATTATGGGCTTGGCCAGAAAGGTCATGGGTTTGGCCAGGAACTTGGCCTGGACTTTAGCTCGCTCTCACAATACAGCCCAGTTCCAGCACTCTTTTCGTGGGTAAACTCTGAGTTCATCTGTTTTCTCATCTCTAGCTCAAGCTGAGAGCACCAGCTCTCAGTCTGATTGGTTGAGGGTCAAATGAGTCCCCGACCATCGCGGGGACCTGGTGATGCTTTCCCTGGGGCCCCCGCTTAGGGCAGCAGTTCATGTGATGACCGCAAGGTGGAGCCCCAACGCCTCCATTTAGGAATGGTTACCCGGCCAACCACTGGGCAGCTGCTGAGCTCCGCACCGCTCTGGGAGGAAGCGCTCTGGGAAGGAGCGGTGGCCATCCTCTCTGAGTCCACAGGCCCTGAAGGCATCTGCTCTAGGTTCAGTTCCTAGGCCAGACGCTGCCTATAAGGAAATTTCTGACCTGGGCGGCCCTCCGGACAACCTATCAGCTGAGTGGCCTCAAGTTACTCCTGTAGCTTCCTTTGGCCTCAGTTTCCTCACCTGAAAGGGACAGTTGAAAATAACAATTCCCAGTGCCATGGGAGCGCTTTGTAAACCATGGTGTGAGCTGCACGTGCACATCATAACTGTCCTTTCCATGTTCCTATTTGGTGGACTGTACCACACAGGATTCCCCAATATGGGGAAATGAAGAAAACACTTGCCTGTTGGCTGCCAGACTGTGATGTTCCCACCTGAACATCAGCGAGGCTCAGACTGGACACACTGTGACCGTGTTTGGACAAGGCTCAAACAAGACCACTCCAATCCTCAAAGTGACCAAGCACGCCCCACCTCTGATTAACATGAGTGAGTGATGACTAGCTGACTTCAATCCTCCATCTCCCAGGTAAAACCCATCAAGACACCCGGTCACTGAATTGGGCCTGCTTCCTGACAGCATCTGACCCAGTACCAGCCCTGCTTCCTGAATCCTTACTTAGTCACGAGCCCAAATCCTACCAGGAGCTCCTCCCAACCCCTCTGTGGAGGTGCTCCCTGGTTCCTTTGCTGTGTGTCCTCCCGTGCTGCAGCCAACTAGACAACCCTAACTCTTTAACAGTAGACCTTCCTAATGGCCTCCAGCCTGTGAACTTTGAGAAAGAATGCCACACTGATTAATTGACATCAAAGTTTGTGTCTTAGTCTGCTTGTGGTGTCAAAACAGAATGCCACAGACTGGGCAGTTTAACAAGAGAAGTTTATGTCTCATGGCGCTGGAAGCTGGGAGTCCAAGATCAAGGTGTCATGAGGTTTGGTTTCTCCTGAGGCCTCTTTCCTTGGCTTGCAGATGGCCTCTTCTTGCTTTGTACTTACACAGCCTTTCTCTGCACACACAGCCCTGGTGTCTCTCTCTTCTTACAGAGGCGCCATTGTGTTGGATTAGGGTCCATACTTATAACCTCATTTAACCCTAATTACTTCCTTAAAGACCCTATCTCCAAATACCGTCACATTGGGGGTAACGGCTGCAACATATGAATTTGGTGGTAGGGGGCACAATTCAGTCCATAACACTGGGATTTTAATTTCTTCTAAGGATAATAAAAAGGTCATTCAGGAGAGCAGAGGAAGATTGCCCAATAGTTTGAAATGGAAAAGGTCACTGTCCCTGAGAAATCCTTGCCGAGGGAGTGCGGTGAGTACAAACAGGACTACAGGCAGTGAAGAGGGTTCCCAGGGGACAGCTGCATGTCAGCAAAGCCCTGGAAAGCCCAAGAGAAGGGGGCTGCTCTGAACCCATCCCCGGTGAGGGAGGCTCTTTCACCCCCTTGACACTTTGGACAGCTTGGTCCCTCTCCTGGCATGTCCTCCCCAGGTGAATGCAGCCACCAAGACTCTTAGGGAGAGATCATGCCTTCCTGTGTGAATTCCCAGAATACAGATCTTAATTACACTCATTATCCAGTTTGAGGCACCATGCAAAGCCCTTTAGGTGTGTTCATGCTAATCCTCACACCAGCCTTGCTGTATGGGCTGTATGATCTTAACAATAAGAAAACTCTGGCCCAGAGAAAGAGCTTTCCCGAAGCCACACTGCCTGAGTATGGCAGAGTTTGAACCAGGAGAGTGGGACTTTCACTAATTGTGGGTGTTTGTCACAAAATTGTAACTCAGAAGCCTGCCAGTTTTGCCATACACACTCTCTCTCCCGAGAAATGCAACTACCACAGATGCTTTTGTCAGTATAGCCACGTGTTTTGGGTGATGCCAAGGATCAGAGGGGAGTCCTGAAGCCAAAAGCCCTCTGCTAGGTGGGGCTGTGTCTGCTGATCGGCTGCCCAGTATGCTGCTGCTGGCCCTGGGGTGCTGGGGACAGGCAAAGACCCCAGGAGCAGAAGACAGAGCTTGGTGGGCAGAGGCTGTATCCTTCTGGTAACTGCTTATTGCCTACAGTTCCCCAAGCTGTCTCTCCTTGTAACCTGGAAGAGGGCAGGGGTAGAGACCGTGCCCTATTTGTCTCTGTACCTCAGCAACTGACCTGAGCACAAGGGAGGACATGCAGTAGGTGCTCTATAAATACCTAATGAGTGAGTGAACTGAGTCAAGTTGATGCATGGTAGCACACAGAAGTGCAATGTATAATAGCGGCGATTGCCAATAACTATTGAATAGTTAATGGTGCAAATGATGGCTTGTTTTGGAATAAACAGACACTTTTGTTTTGGTTTGCAATGTGCTTGTAAGACTACTTCCTCAATGTACTGAAGCTTAGAAATAATTCAACCCAACCTAGGTTCCCAGAGAAGAATGACATACAGGTTTTCACACAGGAATCGCATGTGGTTTCATTTACTTTAAAAAACCACCCTAGTCATCTCTCTCTCTCTCTAACACACACACACACAAACACACACACGCACAGAAGCTTTCATATATAACAACGTGTTATCTAATTTGCATCTGAAATTCCTTCCTTTGGAGAGATGTCACAACCCAAAAGGTATAACCATGTATGTTGCTGGATGTATGATTTTAACAAACATTGGCTTCTTTCTGGAACCCAGATGTACAGTTTTAGGAGGTGGGCCTTTAGAAGTGATTAGGTCATGAGAGCTCTGCCTTTGTGAATAGGATGGGTGTGTTAGTCCCTTTTGCCCTCTGCACTTCCACCAGGTGAGGGTGCAGCAAAAAGGTGCCTTCTACAAAGCAGAGAGCAAGCCTTCACCAGATATCAAACCTGCTGGTGCCTTCATCTTGGACTTCCAGCCTCCAGAACTGTGAGAAATAAATTTCTATTATTTACAAATTACCTAGTCCAAGATATTTTGTTATAGTGG